AATGTTTGAATGATCAGTAAGCGTTCATGGAGGAAACATGATAAACTTGCTAATTGTTGATGAAAAACCAAACACAGTATTTACTTTACCGTTTTTTACATCAGAATTTGGCAATTGATATTGGTTTCAGAGAACTTTGTACTGTTCGTGATGTATCATCTGATCAACAAGGTCGTTCTGTAGCGGAAGTCCGCGATTTAATCTTTCTGAAGACTGGCCCGAGCGGAAGCGACCGACCGGAACAATGCCTTGCGAGCTTGCAGATGTTGTCTTTGAGCCAAGAGCAAAATGGCGGCTAATGCAATGGAAACTGATGATTTGGGGCATTTATCTTCCAATACGCTGCGTCGATCTAATTCAGCGCCAAATGTAAGCGCAGCAGTAATGAGCGAGGCTATTCCTATCTTCCAGCCGATACACACCTCAAGACAAAGACGCTTCTCTACAAGCCAAATGGCTGTGAATGTGGTTAGTAAAAATTCCGCGAATAAATGTCAAGGGACGTTCATTGATTCTATAGACTTGGTACCGTTCTTGTGATCGATCATTTGATTGCAAACTGCATTTATCCGTTTTTTAGGGATCTCCCGCGTCAAGAATAGAGCAGATCAAACGAGTGAGTACATTGTATCAGGGACTTGGCTTTAGACACTGTAATTTCAGTTGATTACTTGATTGAGAGTTGTTGTTTTCTGCCGTCTGTTAGCAAGCCTTCGATTCACTTCTTTTTTAGCTATCGTTATTAAGTTATTTTGTATGTCTCAGTGTTTTAGAAGGCTGAAGTTTCCGGTTTTTAAAATTGTCAAAAAATAAAAACGGTATTAACACGCATTGTTTTGTTTGTTATCGTGTTAGGAAGCAAGTATAGATGATGTTAGTCTGGAGAAACAAGTTGGAAGGTAACTTAAACTTGGTCGACCGGCAACGCATAAATGTTCAATACCTGAAAATTATCCACCTTGCATTTTAAGTTGTCCCCTATTAAAACCCTCTAATAAGTCGTTCTTGCTACAGAATTTAGCTTTGAGAGACATTTGAGATACTTTAGCTCAATTTCAAGTCCTTGATGCAAAATAAAGCTACCAAAACTAAAATTGCTTTCAAATTATGGAAGAGGTAAACTTGTAAAAAAAATTGAATAAAAATATTTTCATTTAATTCATCTTTCTTTTTCTAAGTTATTAGAGTTATTTCCTATAGTTATATTCCAAATGCAACTTCTAAACATTTTGATACTTTGAAATATTGTTTACTGATAATTTACAAAACGTAAGCTTATCTTCTCCACCCAAAGTCTGGGAATCAATCTTAAAGACATGTATGAAATATTTTTTGTAAACAAAGTTGTGTGGTATGACTGTACATCCGAAGCCTCCGTAAATGTACTTTTTGGTGATGCTCTTTTTTTAAATAAAAATAAAAGTAGGAATGGTGAAATGGTAACTAGAAAATGAAGACTCCTTAGAGCCTTTTTGTATGAAGGTGGGGGACTAGCCTGCAAAAACATCCATTTCTCCTCGCTCTTCGCCGCTGGGGACGTTTCGCGCGGAGGAAGGTCTGTGACTCAGCGACAGAAATTCCATACTGATGATGCAAATCAAAGTTTACTTAATAAATCTGGTAGTCATGGGGTTCCAAATGTAAATTTGTCTAATTTTACGGGTCTTCTTGTCGATTTTGGTAAAGTGTTGTGCTCATCTGCCAACGAGCTCCAGCAAAACTCAAATTTTTCTTCTAGAGAAGACTATATTCCACAAATATTGAATGTTGTGTTAGAGATTCTTCGCATTTACATTTGACCTTTGTGGCCTTTTGTCTTTTGTCTGTCATTCGTAAACAGTAGCTAAAACAATGTAACCACTCCGTTGACCAATCAGCGCTTCTGACAGGATTCTGGACAGATTTTACGTCATCACTATGGAATTTCTGTCACTGAGTCGCAGACGTTCCTCCGCGCGAAACGTCCCTAGCAGCGAGGAGAAACGGATGTTTTCGCAGGCTAGTGGGGGACCCCAGTTAGGTGAGGTAACATGTGGCGGGTCACCCCACCTAACATGGAAGCATGATCAAATTAAAATGAGAGATTATATGGAAAGGCGGGTTACCCCACATAAGTGGGTTACCTCACCTACCTGGGGTCCCCCATCTCCATTTAAACAGGCCCTTAGTGGGAGCAAAACTCTCTAACCATATTCCAAGGGAGTTAGACTCACACATGATCAGTTTATGTATCTTTAAACTTTGGGAAATACATGTATGTTTACATCATCCAGAGTCTTAAATTCCTGGAAAAGTCTTGAAATTTGCCCAACAATTTTCCACACTTGGAAAAAGTCTGGAAAATAGAGATAAAGTCTTAAAAAATGGTAAAAAGTCTTGAGTTTTCTTGAAAGTTACAATAAGTGCTTTACTAGTGAAATTTTTTTTTGTGCTTGTCAAATCTTATTCAGTCTCATTTGTATGTTTGCAGCGCATCATGGAAAAAGCTTTGTTCCTTCATTTTTTTATAGTTCTCTTTTGATCTCCTATTTGATAACCTTAAGTCCGGAAAAAGAAATTATTGTTTTGGAAAAAGTCTGGAAAAAGTCTTGAATTTTGGATCCAAGAATCTGTACGAACCCTGTGTATATGTGCCAGTTGACCCAAACAAATAATCTTGCCTATCTCCACTGAAAACAGTAAGTGGTGTTTCCCCATTTGGTTTCACCTAAGGGAACATTAAGGGTCTCGGGAAAAAGAAGTCACTGTTTTCCTCAGGGTTAGTTATTAATTGCTAAGTATTAACATTTTGTTCCCCTCTCTCTCTCAGTGAACTTCTTCTTTCGCATTCTCTCAGTGACTGGACCCTACTGGTAAGTGTCTATTCCAGTAAAATTGTGTTAAGACTGACTCACAATATGCTCACTTTTGCGGGGCTAGCAAAAAATGAATTCCAGCTTGACCTTTGGGTAAGCAGCTCCCAAATTTTGCTTGCCCAGGGCCACTTCTTGCTTGTCTTAGTGAATGATTTTGTTAGAGGATGACTTTCCTGGACCCTTTCTTATTGGGCAAGTAGGCTTTAAAAGTTTCTTGCCCAGAAAGAATATCAACTTGTCCTGGACTACCAGGCGGGACTTTTTTGTGCCCTTGTTTTAATAGACCTTATTCACAATACCCACCATCTTTGCACGCGCTTTACGGTTGACGGGATAAAAGCAATGTTACGTGGTATTTCAGGGGGCAAACAAAAGATAAAATTTGCCAATGCAAGAAATCGGGGTCGACTTTGTTTATTCTCTCAAAGCGAAACGACAATTTAATAGTCATGCAAAATGTATGGTTTGAGCTTCAACAAAATTAACGCCATTATTGCTTGCTGTGAGGACATCTACAGTTGCCACTGCGTTAAAAAAGTAACAGTGATCACCTCCACCCATAAGTTGTCATTATCATCTTTAGAATAAAAAGTTGTTCATTTTCTGTTGTCAAGAATAAACAAACTTGACCACAATTTCTTGTATTGGAAAAATTTATCACTTGTTTGCCCCCTGAGAAACCACATGAGATCGCTTTTATCCAATCATTCCTTAAGGAAAATCCTTAAATAAGAACGACCGAGACCAGGTTTTATGAGCCCGCAAGACTGAGCACTCCACCCAAACCCTTGTTTTCACTGAAACAGCTGGACACCAACCTGGTTGAGGTCATTGTTACCTAAGGTCTTCCTTCCTTAACCCTTTAAGTCCCAATAGTGACCAACAGCAATTTTCTCCTAACAATGTCCATACATTGTCAAGAGATAAGGTTGTGAGAATATAAAAAATGATCTTGAAAGAGAAAATGCCTTGATGTTTTATTAAATTCTCTCAACTAATTCTTAAAGGAAATGTATGGAAATCAGTTTGGAGAATTTGTATGTGGATACTGGGGCTTAAAGGGTTAAGCACGTGCAAAGATGGCGGGTATCGATCATAAGGTATATTAGTTAGGTGGTGGCCTTAAAACCAAGCTACCGTATGTATAAAGTTTTTTAACAATGCTGGCATGGTTAAATTCTATCTCTTAAGCTGAGTGTGTAAGAATTTACTTTGTTAGTAATTTATGTAACATACTAACAGATTGTCCTTTCTCTTAGGATCATGATAAGAATGACATTCATATGTACGAACGAAGAAACTCTTTTGATGATCAGAGACAACCATTCTCATCACCATCTTCATCATCACCACCCAATCAGAGAGTGAGTACTTAACCAACTGTTGTATCTGTATAATAATTATACACAATGTGTTACCAGATCGTGGCATTCTGGCATTGCCGCACTTTTTTGGGAAATGCTGCACTATAATTAGCCCAACGGGTCCCAAGGGTGCAAAGAAGGAAAAGAAATTTATCATAAAATATACTTAAGCATGCATACACATACGTACATTTCCCTATAATATAAGCCAAAATTTAATTGGTTATGGTGTGTTAAGAAAATACCCATCATTGTCTAAGACTCGGACCTGTGAAAACATTGAGTTAACCGTACCTAAAGATTGTGATCTGCTTTTCTCCCTTATTACCCCTTTTAGCTTCTTTATGGGTCCTGTGGACCCCAGTGTACGAAATCCTGGTAAGAACACTGTATGCAATGCAGATCTTACAAGAAAAGAAAAGGAAGGGAGATAGTAACAGAAAAAAAAGTGCTCTTCAGTGTCTGTCGTTTCCATTCAGTTACTGCCACACCCACAAGGTTTCAACTAGGTGGGTTTCTGGCTGTCCTGTGGATGAAAAATGATTCTTTAACCATTTTGGCCTCAAAACTGTTGGTTCAAGTTAGTGTTCATGAAGATGCCCACTCATTTTCCTGGATTAAATCCTTCACCGATAACAATAACCAGAGATTATTGTAATTATAAGTTTTTGCAATTTAGTGCTTTAAAATGGGTAAATACATGTACCAGTGGGTGCAGTGAGAACAACCTCAAAGGAAGCTGAGGATGCTGTAACAACAATAAAACAATAGAGACCTTTAGGTTCTAAGATGAGGGCTTAACCTCCCTCAATAAAGATATCCGTGCTGATTTTTTGGTGAAAAAAAATAAAATGAAGCTTCCCCTGCTAAAAAAACATCAATTTTGGGGGGAAGAATGCAAATTCCAATCTTTCAGTCTTGTCATTTCAACCATAAGTGGTGTACACATATGTGTACATTTAAATTAGTTATCTGATATTTGATAATATTACTGATTAGTAGTCAGCTAAGCAGCTAATTATTGATTGTACTGTCAAAAAGAAGTAAAACAAACTATTTACCAGGAAATTGAAATACTTGAAGCCTATCTTTTTTTCATCTGAGGGAAAGAATAATGTGCTTTTTATCTGTTTGAATTCTTGTGCCAGGGAGTAACCATGAGAAATGCAAGAAGCCTCACTCCAAGTCCAATACCTAGTCCTACTCGACCAACTTTTACGTAAGTGTAAAATAGAAGAATTTTTATTTCTACAGTCGAAGCTCTCCTTATGACTGCTCTCATAAATGACCAGCTCTAGCTACGACCACCTTTGCAAAACCCCATTTGAGTTGTGACTTAAACTTTGTAATGAAAAGCTCTGGTAAGTGACCGCTCCTTTAAGCGACTGGGACCATTTTTGGGCTTACCCTACTAGACTTTTCCTTTGTTTTTAAGCTCTTGTAAGCGACCACTCAGAGTCATATTCATATAAATCATCACTTTAATGAAACTGCACACTGCGCTAATGATTCTAATATTTAGATTTGGGGTTGTTTTGGTCTAAAAAACTGGACATAAAGTTTAGCCGTGTCATATTAGATACAAAGACACTCATTAAACATAAATATTTTCTCTGAAGCACTTGTAAGCAACCACCCTCTGTTTTACCATGCAGTCACTTGCGAGACTGTGTTTGTGAGGACAAATCTATAATATTTGGCGTGATTTTGACTGTAGTGTCCAGGCTGTTGTGCCTGGACACTAGGCGATAAGGAAGCCTAACAAAGCGGGGGGCATTATTAATAGGCTTCCTCAAGCCAGATTACTTACCTGCTTGAGTGCAAAGTGTGCAGAAAACATAAAACTTAAGCAACAGAACAACTATCGATGGGATAATTATAAACATTTTTTTTGAAAAACAATTTTATGTGGAAGAAGAGCTGGTTGTGAAATGACTGGATTGGTTTGGGTTATTATATGTAAGGTTGTTATAGGGACCAACTGGATTTTATGCAATATCTTTTTCTTTGTAGGCGCAGAAGTCTCAGTCCTGTATGCTTACGACCAAGTAGTTTATCATTAAAAAGAAAATGTAAGTCAACTTCAATGCCTTGTAAATCATGATTAGGGGTTACCCATTTTTTGCCCGATTTCACCAATGTCTTGCCCAGAATACACTTTACACCTGCTAAGGGCCTGTTTACATGGAGGTGGGGGACCCCAGATAGGTGAGGTAACATGTGGTGGGTCACCCCACCTGTCATGTAAATGTGATCAAATTATAATGAGAGATTATATGGACAGGTGGGTTATCCCACCTAAGCGGGTTACCTCACCTACCTGGGGTCCTCCACGTCCATGTAAACAGGCCCTTAGACTACAGGGTTTTTGTTAGACCAGGGACGCCGGGACCTTTAATCAGCTATCTTAATTTTCATCCCAGCTATTTTATCAAGCTGTACTTATAGATATTATAGTTTTATTCCTTGTTGTTAAAACCGACACGGAATAACAAGAATTATTTTCCACATTACAGTTTATACACGATGATGTGCAAACTCACACTTAAACTTTGCTCATATGGTATTTTAATGATGTGTGCACTGGAAAAACTAGTGTAATGAGAGAGAAGACAGATCTTACCAGCCCAAAAAATTGGAGTTTGGTATGTAGGCTTCAAAGGAACTGCATGTTTATGGCAGATCTCCCTTTTTTTGCCACCTTCATCAAGACAGATAAGATAGGCTTTTCTCCGCTCCCAGGGTGCTCCTCATCCGTCCTTTCCCAATGTCATTCAACACCGTTTTGTTCTAAAAATGATTGGTCTGTTAAACAGGTCTTAAAAACATTAGGGATCTTAAGATCTGGCCACGGTGAGAATGTCAAAAAAGCATTAGGTTTACAGTCAACTCTCTCTAAGACGGACACCTTTGGGTCCCTCTTAAAGAGGTGTCCATCTTATAGAGAGTCAAATAAAAGGAGTAAAGAAAAGCAAGGACCAACTCTAGGTGTCCATTTTACAGAGGTGTCCGTCTTATAGAGGTGTCCGTTAAGAAAGAGTCGACTGTATTAAGCAAAACAACAACTTTGCCAATGCATCATGATTCTAAGAAATTCAACTCTAAGGGAGATCCACTATATTTAACAAACTAAGTGAAGTGGAGTAATCGTGATAAAGGTAGAAAGAACGTGAGTTCACTTTTTAAGCGGCATTTTCGCTGCCTTCGTCGTCATTGGATCTTAAGGTCCCTATTGTTTTGGCTTGATTACCCAGGTCCAACAGAAGGCATAACTGAACCAGGTGTAAGCCCATCGAAGCGCCTCTGCGATATTTCACCCATAAACTGTTCACCTGACATCGACTCAGAGCACCTAAACTTTGACGACGATAACCACATACACGAAGATCCTCACAGCTCCTCGGCATCAGAAAGCGGGGGGCATTATTAATAGGCTTCCTCAAGCCAGATTACTTACCTGCTTGAGTGCAAAGTGTGCAGAAAACATAAAACTTAAGCAACAGAACAACTATCTATGGGATAATTTTAAACATTTTTTTTGAAAAACAATTTTATGTGGAAGAAGAGCTGGTTGTGAAATGACTGGATTGGTTTGGGTTATTATATGTAAGGTTGTTATAGGAACCAACTGGATTTTATGCAATATCTTTTTCTTTGTAGGCGCAGAAGTCTCAGTCCTGTATGCTTACGACCAAGTAGTTTATCATTAAAAAGAAAATGTAAGTCAACTTCAATGCCTTGTATATCATGATTAGGTGTTACCCATTTTTTGCCCAATTTCACCAATGTCTTGCCCAGAATACACTTTACACCTGCTTAGGGCCTGTTTACATGAAGGTGGGGGACCCCAGATAGGTGAGGTAACATGTGGTGGGTCACCCCACCTGTCATGTAAATGTGATCAAATTATAATGAGAGATTATATGGACAGGCGGGTCATCTCACCTAAGTGGGTTACCTCACCTACCTGGAGTCCTCCTTCTCCATGTAAACAGGCCCTTAGACTACAGGGTTTTTGTTAGACCCGGGACGCCGGGACCTTTACTCAGTTATTTTAATTTTCATCCCGGCTATTTTATCAAGCTGTACTTATAGATATTTTTGATTTTATTCCTTGTTGATAAAACCGAAACAGAATAACAAGAATTATTTTCCATATTACAGTTTATACACGATGATGTGCAAACTCACACTTAAACTTTGCTTATATGGTATTTTAATGATGTGTGCACTGGAAAAACTAGTGTAATGAGAGAGAAGACAGATCTTACCAGCCCAAAAAATTGGGGTTTGGTAGGTAGGCTTCAAAGGAACTGCATGTTTATGGCAGATCTCCCTTTTTTTGCCACCTTCATCAAGACAGATAAGATAGGCTTTTCTCCGCTCACAGGGTGCTCCTCATCCCTTGTTTCCCAATGTCATTGAACACTGTTTGTTCTAAAAATGTTTGGTCTGTTAAACAGGTCTTAAAAACATTAGGGATCTTAAGATCTGGCCATGGCGAGAATGTCCAAAAAGCCATAGGTTTATTAAGCAAAACAACAACTTTGCCCATGAATCACGCTTTTCTAATTGTAAATTTCTTTGCCATCACTGCACGACTACGACATGAAGATGTCTAATTTCCCAACCTGTAAAGGATGTAAACAAGCAACCACGAAACTCTAAGGGAGATCCCCTAGATTTGAATAACTAAGTGACTTGGAATAAAACATAACAAGCTTACTTTTTAGCGGTGTTTTGCTGCCATTGTCCTCGTTGGATCTTAAGGTCCCTATTGTTTTGTCTCGATTACCCAGGTCCAACAGAAGGCATAACTGAACCAGGTGTAAGCCCATCGAAGCGGCTCTGCGACATTTCACCCATAAACTGTTCACCTGACATCGACTCAGAGCACCTCAACTTTGACGACGATAACCACATACACGAAGATCCTCACAGCTCCTCGGCATCAGACTCATCATCGTCATCATCATCACTGAATACCACACCCATGGTACTTGGAGAGATTCATAGACACCCCTTCTCTATTTGTCGGCCAAAATTTACTCCACCAAGGTCACCCCTGGCTGGTCCATCAACAACACAGAACCATTCCAGTAGGACGATAGGATCTTCACCTTCGTGCTTCACCTTTGCCCCTGTGAGGGATTGATGACCATCCATGGTGAAGAGGTAAGAAAATGTCTAACCCCTTCTTATGTCAAATAAAAATCAGAGTTTACTTAGGTAACATCCCAGTGCCGGATCCAGACCATAAGCTAAAGAAGGGCCCGGTCATCCAGACCCCTCAGATAAGGGGAGAGCCTAGTCTCCAAAAAAAATTTTTGTTCGGTCTAAAAATAAGGTGGGGGCAGACTCCCCGGGCCCCTTCCCTGGATCCGCCTCTGCATCCATCGAGGCCCCCTGGGAGTGGGTACGCGTGTCACTAATCTGAATTTCAAAACCCATCATTTCAGGTATTGAGGAGGAAGCCGTGTCCCTGTTGGCATTTTACAATAAATTATTGCTCTTGTGCTTGTCAAAAGTTAGAACCACCTTGTATAGCAAAACAAATAGTACCACAGGAAAATACTGCTCAGTAGCTTTCATATAACCATTCACGCCTAAGGATTTTATCCAAAGAGAACCACCTTGTAGAGCAAAATAAACAGTTCCTCAGCAAAGTACTACTCAGAAGCTGTCATTTGGATGGACACATTTCAGATTTCATCCTTGAGTTCATAAGTTACAGCTACATGTTTACACATCTCTGTTGTTAATGCAAGGGGTGGTTTGACCGTAAATCTTTACCATTCACTCAGTGTGCTTTCTTATACTTGCAGATATATTTTTCTATACAGAGAATGTAACAGTTTTTAGAGCTTTATAAAGACAAATATTAATAACCATTTTCATAATGGCATTAGTTATACATATTAGGAATATTGCCTTAATGTACATACAACCTACAGAAACGTTTTCAAGTAGATATAGTTAATTGTTGGTAGTCCTGTGTTAGTGTAACAACAATACTAGTAACCAATATCAACCTGTAAATTTTCATTTCTCATCCCTTAACATTTCTTGGAGCAGCTACAAAATACAGGGCCATAGAGGTGGCTTGCCAGTTCGCTAGTCATGATGAGTATTTAAAGAACGAGAAAGCTCAAAAGAGAAATCCTTATGCAGCTTAAACGGGCATGCGCCGCTTAGACTGCGAGCAGAAAAGAAAGAGGATAAGTCGCTTTTATTCGCCCTATTTTCCTCGCCGGTTTTGCCGTCAAAAATTTTCCACGCGCAAGTGCACATTTGCCGTTTAACCCTTAAAGCCCCAATATCCGCATACAAATACTCCAGACTGATTTTCATACATTTCCTTAAAGAATTAGTTGAGAGAATTTGATAAAAGATCAAAGCATTTTCTCTTTGGTGATCATTTGATTAATTCTCGTAACCATTTCTCTTGACAATGTATGGATATCGTTAGGAGAAAATTGATGTTGGACACTATTGGGCTAACAGGGTTTACAGGGTATGGTTTTCAGGGTTTGAGCGTTAAACAAGGTGTACAATTTCACATGATTTTAGCGTTTAGAACAGGGTGTCTTTTTGTACCGGAAGCCTTTTAACCCTTTAAGCCCCAAGAGTGATCGGCATCAAATTTCTCCTTGTAATATCAATGCCTTGTAAAACAGAGTGGTCATGAGAATTACGGACATGATAACACAAGTTGAATTTACTTGATATTTTGTTAACTTCTCCCCACTACTTCTGTAGGAAATGAATAGGGGCAACAAATGAGACTTAAAGAGTGTGGAGGCTGGCTATAAAAGCTCTACATTTGGGGTACCAAGAAATTTTTCCCCCAAAGATGTAATTCCATGATGTCAGTGAAAAAATGACTTAACTTTGTAAGCGACACGAAATGAGTCAGGGTAAAAAAAAATAAATAAATAAGCACGCTTGTCTTATACCGGGTAGCGAAATGAAGGACGAAATGAACGCTAAACGTCTACCCAAACTTTCCTTGAGTGAACCAACCCCCTCTCCCCGCCAGGTAAGTAAGGCAAGCATTTTAGTGGCTTTACGGCTCAGTGGCTTGTCAATCGAGGTCGGAGTCTCACCGTTAGAGAAAGGTGTGTGTTTGAGCGGCTCTGTGGCTCTTCTGTAGGGACTGGCGAGCCGCCATGCTACTGAAACAATAATTCTGGAATAGTGATAACCCGAGGTTAGGGAGTGTGAACGAGATCGATCGAAGGTTGCAACACTGTGCTTTGCATAAGTTTTACGTGGTGATGGAAGGTCAAAACGCAAGTGATCACGCGTGATTTAAGGTCCAAACGCGCGTAATCTGATTGCGTTCTATGCTCGCTACGTACGTACCGCGCATGCGTAATAGCAACCACCTAATCCAGATTAGGATTACGGTCTCCTCTGGTCGCCCGCAAATAGTAGCCCTGGATTTTGTAGTTGTGCCCATTCCTTACCAAACAAGTACTCTGCAATGCCAAAAAGTTTAAGATTTTGTTATTACTTGGTGTTGCAGAACATGAATGTATACTATTTAATTTTTGAAGCAAGGACCAGCTTGCAAACAAGATGGACTGGATCCTAATGAAGGATCTAATTAGCAATAAGTGAAAATATAAAACAAAAGAAGCAAGACTGATTTTACAGTCGGGAATATATATATGTTTTTACCAACATATATATATTCCCAACTGTAAAATCAGCCTTACTTCTTTTGTTTTGTATACTATTTAGTATATACAAAAATGTGTGCTAATCCACTGTACCTAAATAGATGGCTACTGGTACATTTACCGACAGTTCTTAGCGCATGAAAACCATAGAATTGCACATAAAAACGCACAGAAAAGTTTGATAAACTTTAAACAAAGGATAGGCAATGTTGCCATTACAGGGACAAATTTCGCCCCCCCCCACCCCACCCCCCCCCCCCCCACCCCCGACCCTCTCACACATTACCCACATCATCGACCAGCGCGAATGAGAAAAGAAGTTATAAAGCAACCACCCTGAGTGTCCATGTATACCTAGACATATAAAATACAACCCGAAATATGACTTTATGTGTAATTGGCCGTGTTAGGTTCGAAAGGAATTGTGGTAAAATGTACAGCCGCCATCTTTTTCCGTAAGACGGATTGGTAACACCAAGTTGCAACCGGGATGTTAACCGTAATTTCTGACATTGATGATATCTTTTTACCATGAATGTGTACAACAAGATATCACGTGCAGCGATCCCAGTATAGTCTGTTCCAGGCCCCAAGATAGTCGGATCAGTGAAATTGAGAAAGTACGTAACGGGTGGGAAACTGGGGAGAGGTTTCCCGCCACCGCCCCCTTTTCCCAGATTGCGCGCTCATATTTTCGCGCGCCTTTTACTTACGCGTCATCTTTACTGTCTGAGAGCCTGAAACAGGCTAATCCCAGTACCATTGTCATTTCAAAATGAAAATCTCGCTTAAAAGTTCTTTTGAATTCTGCAAGTGCAATGTTGTCGCCATTTTGTAGTGGTTTTGTTGAACTGCAAAAATAGCATGTAAAGTGTGTTCAGCTTGTGCAAGTTTTTTTATTTGCTTCATACTATTGTAGATGGCTGTTTACACCTTACTTTGCGACCTTTTTTATCTCTGGCTAATATTACATGTGCAAGTTAGTTGAAATTTGAATTACGTTTAGGTCACTATTGGACTTAACTGAGGATACGGCTGATCGTTACTACACTTGTTATTTCATTTACTGAAATAGTTATTAACAGACCAAAGGTTTCCTAAGGGTACTCAGGAAAAACTACTCATACACTACGACTAAATGAGTTATATTCGTGAGAAAATACGGACTGTATTTCCAGTATAAGACTACATTAGTAACTATGTTTAACTCCAAAGCAAACATTGGTAAAATAATTGCAATTCCTTTTGATTTAACTTCTGTTTGGTTGAAAAATTTAACGAACGTTTCTTAGGCAATCAAGAGAGATCTTTAACTTTTAAACAATCACACCGGCGACGGCAACGAGAACATCAATAAAGCATCCCGAGACTTATAATGACCAAACCGACAACTTTGCACGTGCGCAAAAATTTTCCGTTCGTTTCCCTACCGTCATTGCACGACTACAACATGTAATTGTCCGATGAGACGATTCAGAATGGGCGGAAACGCACGAACACGATTTCTGCTTTCTCTCTCTACACTTGGTTGCGGTCCTTAGAAATTCAACTTCAGGATAATTTGCAAAAGATTTACAAATTGGGGAAGTTGGAATGTTCGCGATTATGTTTTAAAGAACGGAATTTACTCTATGTGACATTTTCGCTGCCGTCGCCTACGCAAACTAGTCACCAGAAGACTCTGATCATTGGTGATCTCTGATCAAACTGTCTGAAGTGCAAGGAAAATATATCTATATTCATTTGCAAATTTCGAATAGACTTAGCGTACCTAACATAACCCTCACGTTGAAAATTTGCACCCGAATCAGTATTACAGCAGTATTACAGCAAAAAAAATGTTTGGTTTTACAATTTCTGCACTAAATTATTCCAGGGTTTTTCATATAACCCTGTAAGTTGTTAATGTCATCAAAGTTTTTGTCTGTTTACTATACTTCCTTCCTGTGATAAATACATAACTTTTTCTTTATAGTAAAAAAACCTTGTTGTTTTGCCCACATTCCCTTAAATAACGTCAACTGAAATGCATTGCAATCACTGTGAGAAAAATTGTTACGTGAAAAAAATAGTAATTAAGAAGAACATCTCCCCAAGAAATCTGGCGATAATTTTGGCTTAAAACCGTAAGCGATTATCAGCCGAGTGCCGAGTAACAATCGGCCAACAGTTTTCGAGGGAGTTTTTCTTCGCAATAAAATGACCTTTACGAGAAAAGGATTCTCTAGGTACTCAGAAGTTTCCAGAAATATGAAGGGAGAAGGTACCTGACAGGTGCAAGAAAGTTTATTCAAAAATAGTAATATTATAAAGTGTGTAAATAGTTTTCACTTACTATTCATCCCATGTAGCCTACTTTGTACATACAAATAAATATTGAAAATAGTGTGTTTTTTCTTCGTTTCCCTCACAAATACAACTGAGTAAATTTGAGTTATTGTCATTAGCGAGGGCGTATTCATGTACTGGAAAGTTGAGGTCTAGTCTGTTACACACAGTCGTTTTTAGTGTCGTCGTTCAACGGTCCTCGTGGGGAGGGACGTTGCGTGACGACACTAAAAACAGCTGTGTAGCAGACCAGTTGAAGCCCTGTCCACACAAATAAGTCTCCTGCACAGCCGTTTTTATTGTCGTCACGCAACGTTCGTCCCCGAGGAGCATTGCGTGACGGCACTAAAAACGGCTGTGTGGCAGATTACACAAATACGGACATTTTTGAAAACGCATATTAAGTGGGATTCTTGAGAGGGTCTAAAAAAGATGCGGTAGTAATTGCGGTTTCAAAAATATCTAGTCTCCTTCGCAGCCGCTCGGACCTGAGTCACGCAGTGCTCCCCGTTCCCACGAGGAGCATTGCGTGACTCCAGCTTGAGCGGCTGCGAAACGAAAGAGGCTAAAAAATATCCAGATTTGTGCGGATTTGGCCTCTGAGACTGACTCGTCCCCAGTCGTCTCCAAGTTGTCTCCAGTCATTAATTATAGTGAGGCGCTTGGGTTATGCGCGCGGGGAAGATGGGAAGGCGATGAAGGGTTCTTTGTTTGAAGTCTGACGTTTTTTGATACACATTAGGCCAGTCCACAGTCAGTTTTTTTAATCGGGGTTGGGGGGGGAGGCGGTCCGATGGATCTGCGAACTTGTTTAGACAATTGTTCACTGGTTTCATTAGGGGTTTCTTTGGTAAAATACTCCTATTCCATACCTATAAAATTACTCAGTCACGACGAACTAAGCTAGTTATAAGAGGAACGCGCCACTGTTAGGGTAATAGCCAAGCCCTTTTTTTTTGTAGGAATACGATGTCAAACACTACCAGGTCTACCAGGGGGAGGTATAGCCCTTTCCACGGACGCTCTATTTTCTCCGGATTTTTTCTATGGATGTATTGACCGTAAGCCCAAGGGGGGTGGGG